CTGTTTTCTCACTTATTAAAACAATCCTGCAAAAGACAAGTAGTCTTCGATCCTACTCATATGAAGTAACTAGAGCAGTCAACTCCTTGACACAGACAGTAGAATGGTGGGTGTCAGGGCTGGGGTGAGGGTAACGGGAAGTTATTTAATAGGGAGATTTCCAGTTTGGGAAGATGACAAAGATCTGGAGATGCTGAGGGTAAGAGTTGCACAACGATATAAATTACTCACTCTGGTCGGGCTACTTTTAATATTTAAATTTCACAGTTTTGGGGTGAACAGTTCTTCTAGTTTTGACAAATGCATAAAGTCTTGTAACCACCACCACAATCAAGATACAGAACAGTTCTATCACACTTCAAAATGCCTTCGTGCTGCTCTTTGTGGTCATATCTCCCCCGTTCCCCCATTCCTGGAAATTCTTTGATCTGTTCTCCATCCTTATAGTTTTGTCTCTTCCAGAATGTTCTATAAATGGAATCATACCATCTTTTGAGTCTGGCTCCTTTCACTCAGCATAATGTTTCTGAGACTCTTATACGTGTTGCATGCATCAATAGTTTATTCTATTTTATTGCCGAGTAGCATTCAATTGTATGGATGTACCACAATTTGCTTACCATTCACCCAGTAAAGGACTTTGGGGTTGTTCCAGTTTGGGGGGGAGAAGGGATTATGAATAATGTTGTTATAAACATTTGTGTACAGGATTTTGTGTTAACATAAATTTTCATTTCTCTTGGGTAAAAACCTAGGGACAACGAAGTCATATTTGGGTAAGTGTATGTTTAACTTTATAAGAAACTGTCTGATTTCTTTTCCAAATGGTTGTACTATTTTGTGTTCCCAAATAGTAATGGAGCAAATTTCTTGTTGCTTTGCATTCTCACCAGCATTTGGTATTTGATGCATAATCTTAACACATCACTATCAATCAATGACAGAACATACACTCACAATCAACTATAAAATAGAGATATGGATAATATAATTACAATCTAACTAAGAATGAATTGATAAATATTTCATGTCAATATTTGCTGATGATCATAAAACCATCTGCATTTCAAGAATCTGTGGAACATATAAAAATAGATTATATTCTAGTTCAAAAAACTTTAGTACATTTCCCAATGTAGAAATTGTATCACACTGTAATAAATATTGATAACTGATAACACACGTTTAAACAGCAATAAAAATAATCATATAGAAATGACAAAACACTTGCCAAAATAATTATTACTCTAAATCAAATAGGAATTTTAAAATTAACTAAAGACTGTAAAAAATAAAGAGGCCCGTTCAACTACAAACTCGTAGGTTGAAATGTTTCATCATTACAAACACACAAAAACACACAAACCCACCAAAAAACATGTTCCTTATAAGAGGCAAAAAGAAAAGAATTCCCAAAAAGAAGATATATGTACTACTACATGTAATACTTTTAACAATAAAAAAATAAATTAAAAAAAAAGAATTCCCAAGGAAAACATAGGAAGGAAATGAAAATAACCAGAAATTGACTGTTTACTGTTCCTTTTCCTAGTAACTGAAGTTCTTAGAGCACAGGGTCACATTGCTATATCCGCTGATGAAGAGTGTGCCTGGCTCACAATGAGCTCAATATTTAGGAACTTTTAACTTTCCCAAAGGTAGGCCTTCTCTCCTTTGGGCTTCCACAGTAGGCTGTTATCTTGGAGTTTATTCAAGTATTGGAACCACTTAAGTTTTCCACATCAAAAAAAGTCCTCTTAATAACAAGTATTTGTTTGCCACTCAGAATGTGCCAGGTGATTGGCATTAACCCACTTAATCATTACAACTTCTCTTGGATATTCTTTTTCAGAAATTGAGGCCGAGAAAGGTTAAGTGACCAAGGTCGTGGAGCGAACTCATCACACTTTCAAGATTTGGTTGCACACAGTCCTCCTTTCCCGCACACAAGCTCTTTCCAGTGAATTCAGGGGCGAGGCTCGCTTGCCACCTTTGTACCCACAGCTCCTAACCTCGCTACTGGCACCGAGTAGCTCAAACCAGAAGGCATTACTTGCGTTCTGTTGTTTGTAAAGTTTCCTTTTGTGGCGGGGCCATAGACAGACGCGCTCCCGACAAGCCCGCAACCGAGCTGCGGAAAGAAATCTGGAAGAATTTGGGACCCGGCTCGCCTTTACGTCTCTCTAGCCTCCCATCTCTATGGTTGGCTTGTAACCACTCTACATTCTGGAGGACTCAGCGAGCGCGGCCAATCATTAGGCCAGTTCCCATGCACGTGACCGGAATTTTGACTTGCCATTGGTTAATACTAGTAAGGCCCGCCCCACCACCTCCTGCCTGCTTCTTTAAGTAGGAGCCGTGGGAGTCTCTCTGTCTCTCGGCGGCTGTAAAGCTTGCGAGGTGAGGCTGTGTGTGCGGCGGGCTGTGGCGGGCAGGCCTCGGTGTTCGGGGCCTTGGAGCCGGGTGGGAGGCGAGTGGCCAGCGGTGATGACATCTACAAAGCACGTGTTAGACTGCTGACAAGGGTGATGCGAACTAAGACTCTGAGCCTGGCCGCCGTGGGGGCCACGAGGGAACAAGCCGGGGGGACGCACCCGCTTACCCACCGCTCTCGTTGCAGGTCCGGCCGGCCAAGGACGTCGGATCCATTGTCCTCCCAGCGCTGCGACCCTTGCCTGAAGGCTCCCAATAAAACAGATTGTTCCTACCTACCGCTGCTGTCTGTGTTTCTTGTCGTGACGCGCTGCCTTTGAGCCCCCGCCCCGCCTGCGTGTGGCGCCGGGGGTCAGGCTGCAGCGCCAGAGCAGTTGCTTGCGCATAACTGGGGCCTGCGGCGCTGTGCCGGCGGCCCTTTTAACCGCGAGCGACACAGCTGCTCGCTCTATCGGGGTCGGGTTTCCCCAGCCTTTGAGCTGAGGTTGGAATGCCCTAAGGAGACGCTGGGCATCCTGTAGGTTCTACCGAGTGCCCCCCGCATTTCCTGTGTTTGCCCTGTGGGTCCCGGCTCTCCCATCAGCGAGACAGGCCTGCACCTTAAGTTAACCGCGGTGTGGGTGGCGATGGAGAAAGGGGCTGTGGCCTTGAGCAGTTTAAGGACGTGGTGTGTTAGATAGGAACCGGCTTCGGTCTGGATGTATTAACTTAATCTGACTAACGTGTAAACTGCGAGCTTTTTACAGAAACTACCACTAAACGACTGCTTGTTTGGGGCTAAAGCGTTGGGTGCCTGTCCCAGTTAGCCATAACGGCTTAGAACAGTGTAGTTGTGAAGGTTAGGTTTTTATGGTTTACTGGGCACAACATGAACTCCGGGGTTATTACATTCCTTCGTAATCCAGATTCTAATTGAACAATCTAACCTGGGCTTCGACTTAATGTGCATCACTTCTGAGTGGGAGGAAGCACTGGTGCAGAATAAACTGCCTCGAAAACTGGAGGGAACCCAAGGAACAGGACTACTGGGCAACAGGGTTCAAAACTTTTCCCTCAAATGTGGATTGAGGAAAATAGCACTTCCCTCTTGTCGGGTGTGATCTTTAAGAAGGCTGGCCAGTGATCACGCAGGAAACAATGCCCAAGTATCCCTATTTAAGTAGAACTTGGTAGAAATAAAGATGCCTTCAGTAATCGACATGAGATTTATTTTGTGAAAGAATGCAAGCAATTGTAAATCCCCCATATACTATTTTAAGTGCAATAGGGTACAGTCATGTGTCATCTCTTTACAACCCACAGTAGTGCATCTAGTCCTCTGCCTTTAGTTATTGCACAGAAATTACAAAGACCAGTGAACAAGACATGCGTACCGACTGGCAAACTGGCCTACACGATGAGAAATGGAACAGCACACCGACTGGGATGGTCAAATTTAAGACAAATGGTTAATGGTGCAATTAAAGTAATTAAGAGTTCAGATCTCTTATTTCAACATGTTAATTTCTTTAAAGTCATGTTCAGGCAGGGTGCTGTTTAAAAAAAACACTTAGTATATGTAAATGATCAAAAGTTACCCAAAATAATTTTGATGTTGAATGAACTTTAAACAAATTTTAAATTCTCAAAGCAAATTATACAGTTAGGGCCTCCACACTTGTAAACGAAACATTCTGACACAAATGCACAAATTAAAGTTGGCAACGTTGAAGAAATGTCACATTAATTTTGAGATATGTAGTGTTTGACGAGCAGGCTTTTGGTCTTGACTCGTGATAACAGATGTTAAGTTTGGTTCATCAGAAGGAACTGACCACAATAGATCCCAAACTAGGAGAGCAAAGCCTTTACATACCTCTATAAAGTTTCCTGGAGCACGTCAGAAGACGCTGATCCTGGTTATGTGGTGGTTAACATTTTCATGTGCTGTCAGGAAACTATTTGGGATTAGAACCAGGTGGCTATATATAATTGGTAAAAGGCTTGGGATAGTTGGATCTTGTGTCAGTGTATGTTCTATGGCTACTTGCTTCCAAGACAGAAATTAATATGAAGAAAAGGTTGCTATGCAAATCTTTATCACCAATGAAATAGTTTACAAAATTCCATTCCCCACCCTCCACATGGTACCACAATGACATTCTCAAAATGTGGAGGAATGCATCACATAAAAACTAGGAGTGAGAAAATGTTCCACTTGTGCTCTGGCTGCCTGAGGAAAAGCTTTGGAGTTGAGACAGGGGAAGGGAGCCTTCCAATTGTAGCTTTGCTCTTAGTGTGCTCTTGCTGCCACGAAAACTGGTAGACTCAAAGCCATGGTATGAGTCACAAAACCTCTGGATCCACCTTGATTCTTCCAATCTCCTTTGAGTCAAAGTCTTGCAGTAGACAATCCAGACACCAGTTGCTGGATGCATGGAATGACGCTCACAGTGGAATGGGCACTGGCAGGCAGCGGGCAGAAGCTGTGGTGAGAGGAGAGGCCTGTGCTACAGCAGACGGGCAGCCAAGAACCCCGCACCTGGAGCTAGATTTCAACACTGGCAACGTTCTCAGGTCTTTACCCATCACAGCTGGTCAGCAGTCTCCACGAGCGGGTCTTTCAGGAGGCAGGAAGTGGAGCGAGGGTCCATGGCTGAGTGCATTATAGGGATATAAACATCATCCATGTTTGGCATGACAAAAACTTTCTGTAGGAAGAAAGAACAGCCATGTAGAAAATGTTTTTGTTTGTTTTTTCACTTTTCTTTGGTGATGTTAAACTTTCCAGAAATTGGTTTTGTTATATTTAATCTATAGTTTTTAAGTAATAAAAAGCTTCCATGGCAGTAACTCCAAACATACCCCTACAAAAATATGTGTCTTTTAAAGGTGAAATTCAGTACAAAGCAAATAAGTTGCTAATACATAAAACCTTGAGAGACAACTGTGCCTCAAATATCTGGTTAAAATTTAATAAAAATAGCTCATCCCTACTAACTGGCCAATTTCAGGGCCACAAAATCCAGATGGCCTGCTAGTGCTTACCCTTCGCCGAGCCTACTGATAAAAGATAATTTTGCCTTTTGGCCCCACCTTTTGTGTTTCCTTTTTGATGACCACTTAATAGGGTGCTGTGGATGAGTTTCAGAAGCCACCTGAAGTTTACACCTGTTTGGTATATGTGTACTTTCCTGGGATGAGGCTCCTCAGAGGAGGATCCTGACCCATATGAAGTTCAGAGCCTCTGTTCTCTCTACCCAGAGCTAGCCTCAATGTGAAATATGAGATGACACTGCAGGTGTACCTGAAACTCTTGCTCCAGTTTCTTCTCTATCCAGTCTGTCACATGAACTAATGTCACTTCTCTCTCTCCAAGTTTTGGCCGAGCTTTCAGCTCCACATATGGTGGCTTCCGGAAACCATACCTTTTTAAAAAGACAAATAACTACATTTAGAAGCAAGAAAGGAAGCAGACAAGTACCAACAGCACACATTCCTTATTTACATAGGCCTTTACCATATTTAACCATTCTTATTCTGATAATCCCCTCTGGAAAGTAATTCAGCACAGTAAGGATGATCTGAACTTCCTGTGTCCTGGGCCATGTGGAGGGCTGTGATGACCTGAGAACAGTTCTGACAAATGGCAAGCCAGGAAGCCCCAAAAGAAAAACCAGTGACCTGGGCTTGGTTTTCCTAAAATGGGAACAACCTTTCTGTTTCTATTTTTATAACAGTATATATATGTTATAAAACCCAAAACATAAAAGTATATACAGCAGAAAGTGAAAGTGGCTCTCTCTGAATATCACTCAGATGGGACACTGAGAGAAGTGGTCATGTTCCCCACACCTAATATGCATGTGTGTAGAGAACATTCCATAGCCTTTTTCATTCCACATTCCCTACCACTTAATATGGTTTCTCCAGGAGTAGACTGTACTAGGACTCGGTAAAGTATCCAGACAAGAGACTATGTGCTATCAAACTATCTAAAAACTTCAATTTGTCATAGACCAATGTTTTAAAAAATACAATAAAAATGTCAAATTGCTATAAATGTTCTAAACATCCTCAATATCTAGACTTATCTTTGTGGATCATTAATAAATAATTCAGCATTTGAGCAGGCATCCTAGAGGCCTTCAATTTTATCTCCCACTGAGCAGTGGCATTTATAACTGATAAAGCTTAGAAGAGAAAGAAATGTTATCAACTCTTAGTATTTAAAAGCATTTTAAATTAGGTTTGGAAGACTGTACAGAAAGGTATTAACTGGTTATTTTTGGATGATAAGATTATAGGCTTTTTCCCCCTATGAAAATATTACTTTAAAAAATAAAATCTAAAATGACATTTTGAAATTTCTAGTGGGAGACACCAATAAATAATTAACTGATGAGTCAATTAAAAAATCCTTTGGATCATCCCCACAAACTCTTCTGAACACTGAGGATGTGTACTACTAGCAGGTTGGTTTCACTCTATGATAGAACAGAGCTTTTCATTCGAGTGTAGTTCATGATACCATGGGTTCTCTTATGCAATCCTGTATACACTGTACGTACATTTTAGAGGACATGGAATGTCAATTTTAAATTAAGATTTTCTTCTGCTGGACCCATGAGTAATTCATTTCAGTGATTCTCAATCCTGGCCAGTTCCCCAATCCTTGAATCCTGGACACTGGGCCGGGAATATCTTTAACAAACTCCCCTGGAACTGTGATATACAGGTGGGTTGAGAACCACTATTTCATTCAGTTACAACTCCTTGGATAGACCTCCTACCACAGTTCCAAAGTGCACATGTTCTTGCCTCCTGAACATCTAGGCCCAACCCAAAGAGTCTTCCCTAAAGGCATGGGACTCTGCTGAAGGTGTGATCCCTTCTGTAAATGGCACCCATCTCCAAGGATGCTGTGAGGACTGCCCAGGTCAAGCAGTTACACTTGGGCCAGGCACAGAAGAAGAGCTCTACAAACGGCAGCTGATCTTACTGGTGGAAATAGTTGGCTCTAGAGAGGAGGAAGATCAAAAATAGACAGCTCATGCCATCCACTTCACCTACTGACCTTGTGAAGGTGAATTTAAGTGTGAATTAACCATTTGCAGAAAAATGTAGGTTCCATGAAAAAAACATGAAAGTGCTTCTGCCCAGGAGAAGGTACTTTCCATCATGTCAAGGACAAGCAGGCTGAGATTTTTATGGTCACGCAACAAGGGAAATCCCAGCCGTCCCTGAGGGCTCATCTACGTACCATATTCGGTCACTTGGGGGAGGTGGAATGTTGACTGCCAAGGTTCCTCTACATTCCTGTACTTCCACAGTTAGCAGCAGGGGTGTATTGGAGACTTCTTCAATCTTCTTTTTAATGAACTCTGTCTCCGTTGCTTTTTGGAAATATTTTGACTTGGTAATTTTATCAACAAACCTCATAATCTTACTTGTTCGATGACCTCCAACATACCTTGAAATGAGGAACACAAATAGGTGTTATCTCTACCTACGATGTCATTAGCACACTCCCCCAACTCATGATAATAAGAAATGTGAAACATTGCTAAATGACCCCTGGGCTGCAAAATGACCCCCAGTTAAAACTTCTACTTCAGACGAGGTAGAAACCTCACACAGAGCTGAGCCTTGACAACAGAGGGTCACACAAAGTTCTCATAGGGCAAACTGAGGAGGCATCTCATGTTTATAAAGCTCAGTGTCCTCTTAGAGAAATCTCTAGATGGCACTAAGAAATCATACTTCATGGACAGAGACAACACAATTTTTTAATGACTGCGTTTTAGGTGGTATTATACAACTTTGGCAACCACTTTTTAGTTATTTTTATTTTTAAAATATATTTTATTGATTTTTTTACAGAGAGGAAGGGAGAGAAATAGAGATTTAGAAACATCAATGAGAGAGAAACATCAATCAACTGCCTCCTGCACACCCCCTACTGGGTATGTGCCCTACTACCCTTGATTAGAATCAAACCTGGGACACTTGAGTCTGCAGGCTGATGCTCTATCCACTTAGCCAAACCCGTCAGGACATGGCAACCACTTTTTTAAGAGCTAAGAAACTTCTAAAGAAGCATGCTACACCAAACTGACATGTCAGTAGGCCAAGAGGCCAAGCTTTTGTATTCAGTCATGTCTACCGTAAGACTGCTCTAACAAGAGAGGATAGTTGCTTTTTACGATCCTCCACAGTTCCAGAGTGTCAGGAGTAGTATGGCTATGTGGACGGGGAAAAGCAATCATTCCTAAGAAAGTCAAGTGGGTAGATTTTAAATAATGCACTCGAACTTTAGAACCAACATCTGGGTTCTCTTTTTAACTTCTGTGGGATTTCAAAAGTGAATAGGCTGACATTTTCTTACAGACGCTTCTGGCTTCTTTATAATCTATAATAATAAAAGCATAATATGCTAATTAGACTGGACATCCTTCTGTCCTTCCAGACAAAGCTGGAGCTGCAAGGAAAGCCTGGATCCTGGCTGCCTGCCAGCGGTCAGAGGGAAGACCTGGTTCTGGGTGCCAGAGGAAGCCAGTGCCGGCAACGGGAGGAAGGCCTTCTCTCACGAATTTCGTGCATCGGGCCTCTAGTCTTTAAATAACGAAAAGATCTGCACAGAGTGGCTGTTTAAGCACTTTGATCACTCCAGAGTCCAAGTAACAGGCAAAGAGTGTCCTGGGAATTGAGTTAATGATCCAAAAGGTCAGCTAAATGATCCACAGTTTCAAAATTCACCAAAGAAATCGCTTGAATGTCTCAGCTTTGTAGAAATTAGCAGCTGGACAGAAGCGTGACCCAACTGAAAGGGGAGTAATGCTCTCCACCGAGCACCAGGAGGCGCTGTTGTATAATTTGTGCTCCCTGCGATAAGCAGCCCTTCAATTCTATTACTTACTCCAAAGGCTCACGAAAGCCATTTTGTTTGGGACCCTCGTAAGTAAAGAAAGCTATATAGTCTTTTTTGTTTTGGAGCCTGGGATTTAGACAAACCACTGACTTTAGGTTATTAATGCAATACCCATTCACTCAATGTGTGGAAGAAGGAAGACCCCACTCACCCTTCAGCCCCTGGGAGAAGCTGTTTGTCTCCCACACTGGGCTCTGGTGCATCGTCTTCCTCAGAGGAGCCGGCACTGGAGGACTCCTCATCGCTGTCAGCCAGACAATACGCCCGGGGCCTGCAGCTGAAGAGGACAGAGTCAGACTGCAGCCTGCCCATCCCCCAGGCTGGGCTCAGAAAGAGAACACGGCCACTCCACCGCACCACCGCTACACACGTCATCTCCCAGCCCCAACAGAGGAGGCCAATCCAAGAGCCCTGGGATTGGACTAGTTACTTGGGAGATATTTCAGCACCAAGTCTGAGGAGCACAGAGGACTTGGGTCTGAAGAGTGCACTTTTGAGCATGCATTAGGACAGGTGGTGGGAATTTGGTGCAGTCAACACAAAATGCAGTGAGTTCATCACCAGTGCAGCAATAGCCAAGTGGAGGGTAAATGGAAAGAACAATGGTTGTTAGAAGGGTGAGGTGCCAGCTTATGGTTGGGACATGACCATCCCTTACTAATGATGGGGATGTTCAGGCAAGTCCCCTGACTGGATGAATTAAAAAACTAAGATGCTTTCTGATTTGTTACCTCCAAATTACTTAGATTCAACACCCCTTCTTATTCCAAACCTGGTCCAGCTCCTGAAGGTCACAGAAAAAGCCAACAACCAAACCATCACAGGGTACAAATCTAAAGGGACTCTAGGAAGCAATTAACATGAGAACCCAGGTACTGTTCCAGAGAAGTATAAATTTAAAAACCATTAAAAAAATAAGATAATAAAAAGCCTCATCAGAGAGCAATGTCCTTTGTTAATGTCTCCAGGTTGGATATGCAGTTTCCAGAAGCATGAGGGCTGCTGGATCACCAGGCAGCAGTGAGTGAGTGATGGAGGTTCCCCACCCAGGGTCACTAGGGTTCTCGGCTGACCTCCAGCCCCACAAAGGCAGCTCCCTTCCTGGATGATGGCTTCACTTCAGGGAGGCAGATGGGCAGGGTCCAACTCTGAGGCTCAGAGACTTAACTGGGACAAAATGAACAACAGACAGAGTAGTTTCTGAACACTAGTAAGTAACCAATGGTCACTAAGCAGAGGTTTGGCCTTGTATTTTTAACAAGGACAAAATACCAGAACATGCAGTAGAACTTGGGCCCCATCTCCCCGCAGGTACAATCCTTTGGGGTTTTCCTCTGATGTTGCCCTTGAGCCACCAAAAAAAGTCTATGAGGGCAGTAATCTCCTAGCCACCAGCAACCAAGGGCACCCAAGGGCAGAGCACACCGCTGGTGTGGGCTTGAAGGCCCAGCAAGAGGCCCCAACACTAGGCGGGGCCCCTGAAATCTCCACCCCTGAAACAGGAGCCTGGCTGTAAGAGGACCCCAAGAGTGTCCTCCCTGGCAGGACACTGGGATCCTCAACTCCAGCTCTGAAACATTAGAGCCAGCCCATTAGCCAACAGGCTTGAGTGTAGTGTTTAAGGGAAACTCCCTCTGCAGACACAAAAGCCTCTTGTCTTGGCCAGGGAAACAGCAACAGCACCTAATTGACTTGTTATTCCTCCTCCATCAGAGGCTGGCTGGTCCCGGAAATATGTGTGTTTGCTGGTCACAAAGTGACTCCAGAGTTTTCCATGGCCAGACAGCCCTCATTAAAACTCTTTTTATTTTGACTGTATATAACAAAATACAATTTCCAATAAAGCCTAGACAGGGTCTTAAGATGAGGCAAGTCAGGGATGCATATCCCCAAGGATAACATAAACATCTCAGAAATGCATCCTTCTCTGCCAGTAGTGACTGGGCTCCCTGGCTCCCACCCAGTGCTGCCAGGTAGGGCATCTGTATGCTGCTCCTCATCCACCAGCACAAAAGGCTGCCTCAACATCTGGAACCACAGTGAAACCTGCTGAGCCATTGCCCCTCCTGTCCGTGTGTCCCCCCCACCCCCCACCCCCTCCATTTGTCATCTGGCAGCCTCCAGACCTGGGCAGAAGATGCCGAAGGCCAAGCACTGCAGTGAGCTATCAGGTTCCCGAATTAATCCTCCACAGGACAGAGAAGAGGACAAATTTTGTGTCTGGAAGTTAATAATTTAGACAATGCTATATCAGTTAAAGCAGATCAGATGACACAAAATTCTGATTTTGACCAAATGTTACCTTTACTCTCTGCAGGGGGAGCTATTTTATGTGGCACCCAATACTTACTAATTAAAAATGTAACTAATTGGCTCAGTTTTATACTGTTTTATAACTGAACGTGCATTTTATGATCTCAGTCTATGATGTCAGCGTGAACTTCAGAGAAAGACAAACTGCACACACACACTTATTTATGTAAGACGTGCTAGAACTAATAAAGCTTTATTTTTAAAAACACACCTTAGAATTCCAGGTGAGAGCGATATCCTTTCAGAGTCACCTTAAAAGGCTTATTGCAGTTTTGCTGCTGCTGCTAAAAATCTTTTTGAAAATGTGTTTGGAGCCAGACACATAAGAAAAAGTGAATTATTTTATCACTGATACTCTCTCGGACCAAACATTTTATTTCTTGGTTTCACCATTGCTGATGGCTCTGAATGACTTATAGCAATTTCTCACAGATCCAATTGATCTACAAAGCAGGGTGATTTTCTGTCACTCATTAGTTAAAAGAATGTCACAGATTCCAGAGGCAATCCTAAAAAAGCAGCTCCAGAATACTTTAAGTGAAAGAAGCATAATTAGATTAATAGCCCAGTGAGGTGACTGCTTTGTGGGGGCCACACTCATACAGGACATTCATTAATTTTTTTAGTTAAGAGAAATCTGTCCCACACATCTGCCACAGACACACATATGCATACATCCAAGAGCCGGACCTAGTCAGTGTCTCAGGTGGAGTGGTGGTGGTGGTAGTCAGGGTACACTGTGGACTAGTGACCCAGCATGGGGACAGACGGGCCCTATGTGTGGACCTGCACATGGTGCCCAGGCTGCAATGGTAGAGCATGAACAGGCCAAGTACCTTACAGGAAATGCCCCACCCCAAGGCCACCTTTCAGTGAAGAGCAGCCAAACACACAGAACATTCCCCTGACTGACTCACCATGGCCTTTTCAGGCAATTCCTTAAGTTAAGGCTGCTCAGTTTTCTACCTGGATTCTACTGAGTACATTACTGCCTCAGATTTATGTTAACTAAATATGTAAACAACAAGAAGACTATTTGGGAAATAAAAAGACTAAAGGAAAAATGTCTGCAAATATAAAGTGTATGCAGATTTCAAAGGGAAAAGGACTTCACTGGAATAAAGCAATATTGACTTCAACTCATCACCACCCTGAGGGTAATGGCGGGAAAATGGGAACCAGTCTCTACCAGTAAGTCGGACTTCTCACAGGTTGAGCAGCATTTCCTCAGACTCCCCAAGGGCACAATCATTTGCACACTTGAAGGAAGCTGAGAAAATGAGGGAGACAGAGCAGAGACCCTGCTAGAGCATCCCATTCTGGGAACAAGCCTTTGCCTGAAAGTGAGGGCCTGGACTGGCAGCCACAGAATACAGGGAGCACCTGGAGAGAAAGGGCTGCTGCTGGCCACTTCTCAGACATTCTGCTCTTTGGAGAGGTTTACCATCAAGGAAGATGTCACCACCAAAGACCACATGCTTAATAACAGCTAAGTGCATGACGACTTCTGTCTCTCCTCCAGCATGTAGCCTGGGTGATTCCATGCGCTCAGCACTGAGGAAGTGAAGAGTGGATCGAGAATCACTTCTGGGATGAGGTTCTTAGCTATGGGTGGGCTTTCAGAGGCTCTCAGTGCTCCCAGAAATTGTGAGCCAAATGAACACATGTGAGTATTTTCTGGGAGAAGGACCCAGAGCTTTCAGAATTTCAAAAGGGTGCTTGGTGCAAAAAAAAAAGGGTTAGGGGCTCATCCGCCCAGGCTTTGGACTGTATGCTTTTAAAATTAAGTGACAGCCAAACTACATGTCAACATAAAATTAAACACCTTCCTAGGAAAGAGCAAAACTTGTTATAACAGATTCTACTGGGAGGAAAAACGTGCTTTAGGTATATATTACAAATTAAATATAATACCATCACAAAAGCAGGGGATTTTTTTTCACAGTCTAGAGAAGATTGTTTGCTCAGAAACATATCCATCCTCTGATCAGCCATTTTATGAACTTGAAATTGTGCCAAGAGAGCAGGATGAATAACAGTTAACATGAAGCACCTACGTGGCAAGGATCTGAGACCTGGCTATATTGGGGCTCCACCTGCTGCCTAAAACCACCCCCTTCCAATGGAGTCCCAGCAGCTCTTGTGCCAGCACAGGCTGTTCCCAGAAAGGGCTCCGTGTACAAATGCTGCTGACAAGTGTTTGCGGTGTCGCGCTCCCGCTCAGATAGATCCCATGTTCAAGACTATTCCTGCCTGACATGCTTCATTTTATAGGCAGCTGGTTTTGCCACTCTTATCATGAGGCTGGACTGATGCTCAGGTGTGCACGGTAATGGGGGATGTATGGCATGCAGGGACATAAGTTGAGTCTGACCACAGGACTAGATCCCTCAGCAATTCAAATCAAGGAAGTCTGTCTGACTTTTCCTGCCAGAAAAGCCTCTTAAGTACTCCTGAGCTCAATTCTCTCGGGTCTACAAACTGAGCCTTTATGTCCAGGAACATGATGAAATGACAAGCTTCCTAGTGATGTTACGTGGAATCAAATAAGACACTGACAGGGTATGAAATGCTATATGGAGACTTGATAAATACCACTCACCAGAAAATACAATCCACAGATTGCCGAATCCAAACACATTTTAACAAATAGAAAAAAATGAAAGGGAAATAGCACAGATTCAGGTTAGATTGCATATAGCAGGTGAAATTCTCCAATTATTAAAAAAGGTACATTTCATTAAGTAACTTGGATAAATCAGAATCATCAAAGTAAAAGAACATTCTCAAATGTGTGACCCAGCTCCTGCACTGCTATTAGCACAATATAAATAGAAGTATCAGGTCAGTATCATAACTAAGCAAAAATTTAAGTCTGTGTCTTATATTTAGACTCCGAGAAAGTGCTCCCTGTGAAATTTCCTGCCACCGCACTGTTAATTCTATGCAGGGGGCTAAAGAGGTGAGAAGCAGATTCCAATCAGCATTTTCAGTTTGGTCAAAACAATGATATAATTTAAGTTTGTAGTTAGTCATTTAGAAGGTGTATGGGAATGTAAAATTTCCAGCTTATCCATTGTAAGCATTTAAGAAAAAAATAGCAAACATTATTTATTAGCTTACAAATTTGAATATTTACTAAACTCTGGGCAGTAGATGCAGTATCTTCTACAAAGAGAAGCATTTGCTGAACAAGTCAATACTGTATTATGCAGGGAAAATGCATCTCAAGACACTTCAGGAGCACCCTCTTGGCTATCAAATCAACTACTAATTGTAAATATTTGTGATTAAAGCAGATAGACCCCCTAGGGGCCATAGCCTTGCCCACTGTGGCTGTTTGTGGCTGTAAGTGGAAGGAGGTACAGTTTTCTTTACAGAGCATTTTATTGTGTAGACAAGCCTGCCCTGTTGGTCTCAGTCGGTGATGCCTTCTGGGAAATCGATACTATGTGCCCCACCAGCAGCACTGAGCCACAAGACACTGAGGAGAGGGTGGGGGGACTCACAGTACGCAGGGGTGAAACTAGGGAACTATTTCCTGAAGCCCTCTGTGGTCCAGAAGCACTTACATGGAGCGTTTCTCTCTCAACATCAGGGATGACTACGCGTCAAACCTGCTTCTCAAAGGCTGGAGGGAGAGACTGGGTCCCCAGGGTTGGGTTAGTAAGTCATATAGACCCTTACCCTTCTTTGCCAATTTCTCCAACCTTCAGGGCTTCCACAAGAGGCTCTTTACCTAGCTTGGTCAAATTCATTTTGGTCTCAAGAGTCATCAGAAAGGACCCATTGTAGGACATTTCCAAATCGATCCAGAGTCCTGGAGAAATGGTGAAAAAACAGAAGGTTTTTTCCCCCCAGAAAAACATGATTATAAATGACAATATAAACATTTATATTTGAAGATATCTAAATTGGTATCACATTGAAAGTCATATATAGATGCAGAGAAAGGCACGCAAGAAGAACTCATGAGGAGAAAGGCCTCTGGAAAAGCTGCAAGCACCTGGCAAACGGGCTGCATTTCACTGTCATTAAAACGCTCACAGTGTGCTCAGTGCACATGCTAGCCTTGGGCCCATCCTCTGGGCTCTTCTCACATTTAGTAAGAGGATGGCTTGACCCAGGGCAAAGCCGGGACAAAGTGTGCGATTACCAACCAGCTACAAGGCAGAAGAGAGGTGCAGACAAGGCACTTCACTGCAAGCTGGGTTCTTTAAAAACACACGTGAGAGCCCTGGCTGGCATGGCTCAATGGTTAGTGTTGGTTGCCCACCAATGGGTCTCTGGTTTGATTTCCAGTCAAGGGTGTGTACCTGGGTTGCAGATTGGCTGCCTGGGCCCCAGGTCAGGGCGAATGGGAAGCAACTCGCACATCAGCTTCTCCTCTCCCCTCCCCCTCCATTCTCTCTGAGAAGCAATGGGAAAAAATATCCTCTGGTGAGGATTAACAAACAAACAAAAAAAGACACATGTGAGAACCACTGTCTTCCTTAAAATGATCTAAAATTGTGGGGGCGGCAGGGACACAGAACATGGTTCAGACTTAGCTTAGTATAATAAGGACAGTGACAAAAACTTTTAGAACCCTTTCTTTTCTGGAAATTGCCTAATAATGGAAACAAAAGAATTAATGTTCGAGCCCCAGGATTATCCAAATAAAGCTGGGTAATCACTTTGTACCTCAGTATAAGAACCTATTCCTTGGAAAAGCTACTGTCAATGAGATCACATCTAAGAGCAGCTCACTGAAATGGTCCATCAGCAGAAATCTAAAATGCAAATAAGGACCAGTCACCTCAGGACCTTCTCCACCAACATTCTATGACTTGGTAGGTAGGACAGAATAGACTGGGATTTTTCTGACTCAGAGCACCATAATATCTCATGGACTTTCCATCAAAATATGATCCTTCAAAGTGGGTGTTTTAATGTTAATAAACTTTCAGAGATCCTCAGAAGACAAATGACAACATTTAAAGGAAGCAGGAAATTAATCTAAAACTATTGTTCATACACAGCAGCATTTTCAAGCAATTACAGTAAATAACCTACCCCTCACTTGGCCACAATCTCAGCTAAAAGCTTTGCTTTACCTCAAGAAGCACTAATGGTATACAATTCCTCACTAAAGGCAGAATAATTTCCAATTTGTTTTCAGCCATTTCTTTTTATCATAATTGAAGGTACTCATTTTCTATGAATGACCTGGTTTAATTAAGTGACATGCAGACCAATTATAATCGTCTTCTTTGCTTTATTTCGTGCTTACGTTAAGCAGTTAGAAATCACCAATTAGCTTGCTCGGCAAAGGTACTGCTACTGGAAATGAAGGGCACATCTATTTTCATAAAGACATTTAGTCATTAATCACTTCTAATAGAAGAAGGATCGGGACAAAAGGCTGGATATTAATAGACTTTAAACTCAATATAAAAAGGACATCAATAAAGAAAATATTTATTCTATATCTCCAGCTTTATTTAACTCAAAATCAATAGACTCAAATTATCTGGTTGCTGTATGTCTTCAGACATAATCATTTTTTTTGAAAATTCTAGTCAGGTTTTCAATAAATATTAATAGTATGTGTTGCCTTTGAAGATGGCTATAAAAGGCACCAGAATTTCTTATAAAGTGAAGGTTCTTTCTTTCTTCCTTCCTCCCTCCCTCCCTCCCTCCCTCCCTCCCTTCCTCCCTCCCTCCCTCCCTCCCTCCCTCCCTCCCTCCTTCCCTCCCTCTCTTACTTTTTTCCTTCCTTCCTTCCTTCCTCTCTCTCTCTCCCTCCCTCTCTCTCTCTCTCTCTCTCTCTCTCTCTCTCTCTCTCTCTCTCTCTCTCTCGGCTATAAAAGGCACCAGAATTTTCTTATAAAGTGAAGGTTCTTTCTCTTTCTTTCTTTCTAAAAATATTTTTATTGATTTTTTACAGAGAGGAAGGGAGAGAGAGCGAGAGAGCTAGAAACATTGATGAGAGAGAAACATCGACCAGCTGCCTCCTGCACACCCCCTACCAGGGATGTGCCCGCAACCAACGTACATGCCCCTGACCGGAATCGAACCTAGGACCCTTCAGTCCGCAGACCGATGCTCTACCACTGAGCCAAACCAGTTTCGGCTCGTTCTTTCTTTCTTTCTCTTTCTTTCTCTTTCTTTCTCTTTCTTTCTCTTTCTTTTCTTTCTTTCTCTCTCTTTCTCTCTCTTTCTTCCTTCCTTCCTTCCTTCCTTCCTTCCTTCCTTCCTTCCTTCCTTCCTTCCTTCCTTCCTTCCTTCCTTCCTTCCTTCCTTCCTTCCTTCCTTCCTTCCTTCTTTCTTTCTTTCTTTCTTTCTTTCTTTCTTTCTTTCTTTCTTTCTTTCTTTCTTTCTTTCTTTCTTTCTTTAATTGCAGGGATATGGATACAGGCTTAGTAGGCTTCTGGCCGATACCCCAGTCATTGGAACATCCCCTCCAGTGACACATGCTCCAGTACCCTACCTTATGGAACTGGAGGCAGGGAAGAGGAGGGAAGAGCATACAGAGCCCAGTCACAAGGAAGTTCCTGACTTCTGTGCTCCGGCCTCATCTGCACAAGGGACACTGTCCTGATGTGTGTAGCCTAGCGCCGGGAATATCCTAGCCAGGCTCTCCCCTTCCTCTGCTATTGCCATCCCACTTCCTTACTTCCACAACTCCTTGCTCCAGCCTAGCTGTTGTCATGGCAGACAGGGGCCAAGCCAGAGGAGGCTGCAGGGCTAAGAGGGAAGAGGCTGCATTGGGCAGCCAGAGAGTTCTGTCTGGGCGAGGGAGGGGATGAGAGGTGGGCATCTGACTGAGCCTCGGAGTGGGGGACAGGGACTGTGTTTTATATCATTGAATATGTCCCATGAGACCACTCATGGGCTTTGCTCAGCCCTGGTTCTCAGTGAAAATGTGAAGGAGTCAAGAATGGTTTGAAAACTTTTAAAATAGATATAAAGTGCAAATATTCCAACAAATTAATATGATGTGCATGCATTCTAATTAGGGAACAGTGACAATTTTAGCACTAAGTGCAGAAAAACTCGCTTCTGTGACAAGGTTCGGTAGGCAGAAAGCACCCTGAAAACCGTGGAGCACAACCACCTGGGGCCGAGGCCAACTGGTTACATAACAGGTGAGTCAGAAGGCTGCTGCCTTGCAAGACTGAAGGATGAAATTAACAGTTTCTAGAAAAGCTGTCTTCCCATTGGGGATAAATTCAACAACAATGTGAAGATGGAACACACGCTCCTCCGTGAGTGGTGTCTTAACTCTAAGGGAGCTGAATGCTACTCATCTAGATGAATGCGGTCACAGAGTTGTTTCTTCTGTGCTCTTAATAAATGTTAAGACTTTATTGTGAGGCATTTCTTTTAAAATGCTGGTTTCTGTAACCATCTGCTCTTCATAATGATCAAGGACAAAAAACAGAAGTTGAGGAGGACAATTTTTTAAGGCTCTAATTAGGAGTAAGGCAGTCAGTTCTGAGAGGTTCTAGGAAAGGACATGAACACAGTCCTGTCTCATCTTGGGCTGCAATAACAATCTACCACACCCTGGGTGACTTAAACAACAGACATTTATTTCTCACAGCTCTGGAGACTGGAAGTCCAAGATCAAGGTATGGCCAATTCAGTTCCTGGTGAGGGCTCTCTTCCTGGCTTGTCGATCGCCACCTTCTCACTGTGTCTTTACATGGCAGAGACAGAGCAAGCTAGCTCTCTGATCTTTTCTTATGAAGGGCACTAATCTCATCATGAGCAACCTTCCTCAGGACCTTATCTAAAAGCCCTATTTCCAAAGGCCCTACCTCCAAATACCATCACATTGCAGGTTAGGGCTGCAACATAAATTTGGAGTGGGGAGGGACACAAATAATCAGCCCTTAACAAGTCCCTATAAAACTAGCACTTTATTCTGCAACATGGGAAACATAACTGACAAGGACGATGGCGAGTTTCAGTGAGTCTTCATGCAAAGGCCTGTGAGCAGCTCCAATGTCTGTTTACTCTTCAGCTTCAGAGAAAAGGATCAGTTACCGCCACCACCACTACACAGAGGGAAACTACAGCAAAAGTTACAGCTCACTCTATCCAAAAGTGCTTATTGAGTTCTTAATGCAGATATCAGAGCTAAAGACGCTGAGATGAATCCCTGCCCTCAGAAGTTTACGCTTGAAGGAGAAGTAAGACACCTGCGCCACATGGTACAGATCAGACTGTGATAGCACCAGAGATCATAAACAGCCGTGCGGGTATCACCAGCATCAACTAAAACGGGTTCTTTGGCCTTCTCCCTGGCATTCTATTTAACAGACTCCATGGCCTCAGGAATAGCTATTCCATGGCTATATCCATCTAGTAGTTCCACTCCGCTGTTCACTATTTTATTATTATTAAAATAACTAAAAGTCTCATTGGAATAGGTTTAATAGGGCCCCTGTGGCTCAGAGTTGCGAGAACCTAAAGCCTTGCTTACGGAGCTTGGCCCTCATGTTACTCATTTCCTCCACCTCTAAATAGTAGTGGTTGATTTTCACTCTGAAAGCATCCAAAGAACAAAACCTCTTAAAATGGAGCATTAATAATATATTACCAAGAGCAGATGTTTGAGTTATTCGGCTCTTAGAAGAACTCACCAATGACTGTTTTGTTCCTGGCAAACAGACTGGTGACATATTACTCAGATACCACAGAAAACTAGCATTTCTTATACTTGGCTGCCTCATTTAGGGTAAATGTCATTTTTAGCTTTGTCTACCTGTAACTGTTCTTGGAAACACCTCTGCCTTCCAAAGTGGACAGAGTCGCAAATCAATCTCCTCT